TGCATAAAATATGCATAAAATATGAAGTCGATGTTTTCCAATCTTGATACAGTTTTTATAAATCATCCTCTCTTTTTTAAGCCCAACACAATTAGCATTTTGAGAATGTTGTGAGTCTGCTCTTAACTACCAATAAAAACAGTTTAATTAACCAGTGACATTAACCAGGTAAAGTGCCAGGATTCAAGTGGATTGAAAGAAAAGCTGTTTGGATCACTAGAACATGACTTCTGCTAGTCTGAGGGATCCTAAAATGGCATGACAATGAGTGTGTTTAATGGATGTAGATGTGTTGCTGAAAGGCGTTCCAGCATCTCTGTGGGCAAATTCCAGAATGGAAAATTAAAAGAGGAAAGAAAAAAAAAAATCCCATAGTAGCAATCAGTTTAATTTATTTAACTTTTTTTTTTTTTTTTTTTTTTTTTTTTTTTTACCAAAAAAGAAAGAACTGAGTACAGAGTCCATGATGTTTCAGTTTGTCATTTTGGGGGGGTATAAATCTCTCTAAACACTGCTGATGTTTTACTGCCAGGCACTCAAAGTCCTGCTGCTCTGGGGACATTTGGCACACGCCAGTGTCGGCTGCGGGTGCAGAGAACCTGGGACACACAGCACGACCCCAGGCTGCAGGATGGAGGCTTTCAGCTTGGCAAAGGTTCCCATGAGGGCAGGCAATAAAAACACCTCACACAGCTCAGCTGAAATCCTACGTGGCTTTGGGATTCTGTCACCTTGGACTGTTAAAGGTGGAGACTGAACAAGTACTAATAGCAAAGCCCTACTCAAAAAAATCAGTGTATCCTTTGTGCAGAGGCAGATTCCCTGTGAGTTATTGCAGGGCTGGGGTACAGGGAAGGTGCCGAGGCAGTGAACACCCACCTCCAATAAAACTCAATATGTCAATGACTGAAAAATAAATCAAATTACTTGGCAAATAAAAATGTGATTCTGTGACTGCAAGGAAGCTGGCATTTTCCTGGTTATCTTCTCCAAGCCAGGAAGAAGAGACATAAATATGTATGGCATCAGAAATGGCAGCAGAAATGTCTTTTTATCCTTCCCAGTACAAATTAGGTGTAGGAAAACGACTCCTCCACAGAGGCCCCTCTCACTGAAGTGATGCCCTAAGCACAGCTAAGTTCAGAGACACCAACCAAAGTCAGCTCTTATAAAATAAAATGGAACACACGTTACTTCAGGTATTGACACCGCAGGACATCGCCTAAATCTGAATATAATTCTCACTTTGGTTTAGCTTCCTGTTTTAAGTGCACCAAATGCTCAGTTTGAGCTTCCACACAGACATCTCAGCATCCTTCACACACAGGCTGCCAGATTCACAGAATCCTGGATATTGGTTCAGCAGCAGGCAAAAAAAATTTCTTCCATGAGTTTTGGCCTCAGCTTAACCCTGTCCAGTTCCTATTCTTGAATCTTAGTGATGCCTCAAACCTCTTTCACTCAAAAATTATTTTGGGCCAACAAAGAAATAGTGAAGCACATCAGATCCAGGGAGTTCTCTCCAGGGTTTTACATCTCACTCTCTTCAGCACAAGCTTCTAGGGACAACCTGCCTGCAGCTGCTCTAAGTGGGGCTGAGAAACAGCACCTTACAGCCTTTTCTTCCCTGAAAAGAAGAAGAGAGTTGCTGCTTTTTAAACTCATTCTACAACCGAAGCAGCACCTGGGGCCGATGCTGCTCCCAGGGAAGGGCCAGCCCGAGATTTCCCAGGCTGTGCTTGTGTTACTTTGTTCCTCCTGCCAGCCGTGTCCCTTTCCAGCCCCCAGCACGGAACCAAAGGCTGCAGCTGCCAGCACTGACACCACCAGCCCCTTTCCTTCTCACCATTCCCCGTTTAAAGCTCACAGTGACCACAGAAAGTACCAGAAGTATTTTGCTGCTATTTGCAGCTGCACACTTCTCGCCCTGGCTCTGGTCAGGCTTGGCAAACCGCTGAATTCAGGGAACAACTGCACGGCCACAGCCCTTCCCTGCAGCTGGGGAAGGGCCAAACCCACGGGACAGCTGCTGGGAGCTCAAGGGCTCAGCAAGAGACAAACAATTAATGGGATTTCTTATTCACCTTCAACTTCAATATAAATATATTATTTTTACCTGGCCGTTAAAAATCTGCACTGCTTTGTCCCAAGGTAAGAAAGTTTCATTATGTGCATTTAGAACATTTAGATGTGACAGGAAGATCAAAATTTTCCCAGGAAATAACATTACAATATCACATCTTTTCTTCTCTCAATCACTGCCATTCTGGAGCACTTTTAAGATGGTTCACATTTAATATAAAAGCAGTAATAGACTTTGACATGTTAGAACTTCATTCTAGAACTCTGATTTTTGGAGCTCACTGAATGCACAGCTGGAGTTACCAGTAAGTGGAAGAAAACAGAAATGTTTCTAGGATTAAAGTTCAAGTTCTGAAATGCTGAAAACAATGAAGGAAACAATCTGCATCAAAACTCAAATATTTGTTTCTCTGACAGAGGCACTAAGAAGTCAAAACACATCACTGAAAGACATTGAGTCCATTTCTCTCAAGGGAATCCATTTTACACTAAAAATATAGAATAAACCCACAGAGCATCAAAAGGATCATGAGAGACAGACAACAGAGTTAAAAAAAAAAAATGATGACAACACATCTACAATGTACACACACACCCTGGAAGGTTTATATATGCTCTATATATATTTCAAAGTACACACAAGCTGCCCATGTGGCAGGTTGAGAAAATAGGAATACATCTTGGGAAGGTCATGAAGGAAAAAACCACAGAGGAAAACAAGAGTTATTTACATTCAATAATTCAGTAGCCTTTAACACCTCTATATACAAACAGGCTCTATTTATGTACAGACTGCGCTGGGAGCCGAGTGAAGTTATTCCAAACACAAAAGAAAAATACAAAACCCCTTGATAATTCACTTGAACAAGCGTTTACAGGTTGCAGAGATTTCTCCATTTACAAAGAAAATACTACACATGGAACAGAGAACTCGCATCTTTGGGGAACTTGAAGTCCTTACAAGAAGTGTGTGCTCCCACTGAACCACACAGCCACTGGAAGAAGTGGAATACTTGCAGTGCAAGGAGGTTTTGAGGAGGGGTTATAATTGCATTTATCATGCCAGACATATCTTAATTATGAAACTAGTTAACAAGTCATAATTTAGTTGCTGTCAAGGGGCAGTTAGAAAAGAGAACCCAAAATTTGGGTTTTCAGTTCCCAAATCAACTCAAATATGTACCTTCCCCTTCTGCAGCACAATTCCAAAATCCACACAGTACAGAAGCTGCTGCCATTTTACACGTGGCACTGCCCCTGTTACCAGAGCCCTCTGTCCTTTTTAGGTTTTATACCCATTTCAGATGTACAAAGCATTTTGTATTTCATTTTGTACAAAGCAGATCAATACCCCACAAGCAGGAAAATACAGAGACCACCCTTGCCTGGCCTGGTAATTTATGATGCAATAATTGGTCTTTTTTCTCCTCCCCAGGAGGATGTTTGTCTCACAGGCAGTGCTGCAAAGGAACACCACTCACTGTTCTTGCCCATCCAGGGCAATTTGTATTCCCTTTCTCCCCAAGCTTTATCAGCAGCTCATGCAGAGAACAAATACCAAAATCCACACCCCAAGCACCGAGTAGGAATTTTCAAGAGAGAAAAACGTTGCTGTGGCTTGAAGGCTGTTTTCTTATTTTCTGATGTTAACTCTCAAGATGTTAAAACAGTCCAGAGCCATGGCTGCAGCTGTGTTAGTAAGAGGATGGCAAAGCCAAGGCAGTGATGGTGAAAGGAGCGGGCAAAGAAGAGCAAGTAGAGGAATGGATTTCTGGAACAGGAACAGTTCCTATGGATCTTGGAAGTACTGTCAGCTTTTTTCTCCTTCAGGAGACAAAAGTCCATGGGAAGTTTAAAAGGTTGAAGCAAAGCGGTGTGGTTTGCTCATCAATACAGGGAATATCAGATATGCTCATCCCAACAATCAAAGTGAGCACACCAGGCTGAGAAGAGCACTTAGGAACTGAGTGTATTTAAATTACCGTTTAAAAAAAAATTAAAAATTACTAATTATGAATCTACCCTTTCCAGAACTATTTTATTGAGGATCAAGACCTAAAATGTTACATCACCATCTCAGATGGCAGAAGTTCCTAGAGCAAGTAACAATTAAGCAGCAGAGACAGGGCAGTCCACACTCAGCCTGCCGTTACTGGCACTTTGGTTTGCTGTCTGCTGCAGTAGTAATCTGTCAACAACTCAAAATCCCAGCCCTGCTCCTGGAATGGATGCCAAATACATCCCCTGGTGGGTACAGAACACAGGAACAGCCTCCCCCACACCCTGTGCTCCAGAGTTTGCCAGGGCATCATCAGCTCCCAGTGCTATGAGAGCGCTCAGGCTCCCTCCCCTTGCTCTCAGCAGACTGAAGATCCCCCAACACCGAGCACCTGCATTCAGGTATTTACAGAGGTGCAGCAGGACAGGGGGAGCAGAGGATTTATTCCAGATCTGCATTTCCAGTTATCCCAAGCATGAGCAAGGGATTCATCCCCCCTGACCAGCTCAGACTGGGGCTGAGGGAATCGGGCAAACTTCCTTCTATTATCAAGCAGGGGCTTGGTGAGCACTGAGCTGCTGGCACAGGGAGCGTTAACCGGAGCCCCAGGAGCAATAATCCCACAAGGGAACCCCCTTCAGCCCTGCTCTCTCTGACCCTTGAGTGGCTCACCGAGTGCTTCAGAGGCGCCACACCTGCAGCCATCCTGCTCTGGAACTGAGCCTTCCTTAAAATACACATGGATGTTTAGACAGAGTTTAGTTCTTGCCTCATTAGCGAGTTCAGCCGAGAGATTTGGGCTGCAAGACAGAAGCTTGGTTAGAGCAGCCTGGAACATGCCAAGTCCTGTCGAATTCCAATTGTACAGACTTGTTAGTTTTTTTGGAATATGGTGATTGCCTAAACAAGACTCCACTTCTTGTTAGTACAATAACTTTTATTTGACATCTACAAGATCATTATCTTGTAGTTTTTTGGACAGGTTTATACAATCTCAATTTTTCAATAGTGCAACCTGTGCAAGCAAGAAATGACAAACATTGTCCTTCACTTTCTTATAAACATCTACTATTATAGGCAAAACAAAACTTACCCATATTATAGATAAGTGACTATTCACATTTGTACATTACAATTTCTTTTAAACAGCTCCAGATAAACTCTACAATGTCTTACAACATATTAAACATAACAGAAACAGCACATACAGCGGAACCCTCAAGTGTTTCCCATTCTCTAATTTACAGCTCAAGTAAGGTTTCATCTTACAAGTGACAAATTAAATTACGTTAATGAAGTAAAAAATATAAGATTGTATGCCAGATGGAAGTGAATTTGCACTTAAGTTTCCATAACCACCTCAGATTAAGGAAATGCTTCAATTTAAGGAAAACAGGCATCCAGCCATCTTTGCAGTACACATTAGGAATACCATTAATACATTAAAAACGAACTAATTTTAATTTAAGATGTTTATCACAAAAAGAACATGTTGTAGACTCAAATATATAACTCCCAGGAGAGAACCAGAAAAAATGCAACACCTGGGTATAAACACTATAAAAATGCAATAACCAATGCTGTACAACTAAGATTGTGTTTCTCTCTGAATTCCTGTCTCGTGTGTTTATGCTGTCCATGCCCGTTTCCAAAGACATGCACTGTCAAACAGAAACTGGGAAGGAACTTGAATGCATGATGTGCAACCTCTAGGTTTCATGCTTTTATAAACTCAAATTGAAGAGAAAAACCCAATATATATTTTCTATATATATACTCAATACATGCATTCGAGATCTCCCACAGCAATGGCATCGATGCACTGCGTTAAACCCTGAGCACTGTATGACAAGATAAAAATAAAGCCTGCTTGGGGATTTTCAAGCATTTTCAAACAAATTGTGGTTTGTAGCTTAAAAGGCCAAAAGTAAAAGCAAACAGGAAGCACTACAGAGAGCATAAGGAAAGACAGATGCACCACCATAAACAACTGCTGGCTTTCAGTTCTACCAACCTTTTTAGATCTCTTTATTCCCAAAGCATTCGAGACACAACTGAACTGAAAAAGTTATATTTCTTTGGAATCTGTCCCTGATTTTTATGCAAGTGATATGCTTTTACAGCCTTTTCCTCAAACACCAAAGTCAACACCTGTAGCTTGTCCTCTTATGCGCTGTTGAGGTTGGTGATGCTCTGGGGGTGGTGCTGCTGCCAGATCTGCTGCTGCTGCACTGCGAGCTGCTGCGACTGGTCGGACGTCGACAGGAGGTTCACGAGGGGTGACACACAATTTGCAGGAATGATCAAACCTGAAAACACCAACACATCCATTGCTTCACAAAAATGCCATCAGTTGCGTTCATTAAGACCTCAGGCTGATGATTCCACCCTTTAATTTATGCAACATTCAATAATGACTGTGCTGATGTCAGGTCTAATCAGCACAGCCACAAGTCCTGCTCCTCCTTGAGGTTGTGAAGCAGGAGAAAGAAGTTCCCATTTTGCCTGAAAACAAACTTTATTTTCATGTTACCCACTGTCATGAGAAGTCAGCTATTTTTGCTTTTCTAGTCTCACAGAAGTTACATCACCATGCAAGTTTACACATGTTAAAACCTACTTCCAACATCCTAGAAAACTGGTACTAGAGGAGGAGCTGCCATGATATTGGCACATCCACAGGAAGTCCACATTCAAGAAAACGTTTGCAGAGTTTGGTTTCTGAGTCCCTGTTTTGAGGGCTTTGCTATGAGGTTTAGTGAAGAGACAGTAGCTCAAAAAACATGAAAACAATTATTTCAAAGGCCTACTATTCATTGCCAAAAATGGGGGGAAAAGTGAAGCCATTATGATGTCAAAGAACCTTGGCTGGAGCAGGCTGTGCATGACATTTTTGCTGCAGTAAATCCAGAGAACTGAAATTAAGTGTTCCAAAACCTGGCTGAAAAAGAAACCTGCCTTCATTAACCCTCCTCAATATATTGTATTGTAGAAGATTTCTACAGCTGCACTTCTACCCTTGTTGTCTTTTAAACTTCTTTATCCAAACTCAGCCACGTGGCTGCCAACAGAGCCACTCACCAGTTACAGCCCCCCCTGCTCCAAGGTGCAGCAGAGGAGCAGCCCGTGCACCTACCTACGATCCTCTGCCCATCTTCTGTCCTCAGGCGAACGATTTGCATTTTCACGTTTGTGCCGCTGACCGAGGCCAGGACTCCTTCCACCTTTGTCCACACGCTCAGCACGGAGCCACACAGCACGTAGTAGGTTCTGCAACGCAGCCCCACCTCACAGACCAGCCCCAGGCCTGCCTTCTTGCAATTGCCTCTCCTGCAGACAGAGAAAAGCTTTCAAAACCACTCTGCAAACAGAAGTTTTTCTAACTGCATTAAAAATGAGATTTGTGGTTATTTAAGGCGCATTCAGGGTTGAGCAAGGGCTGCACACCCACTAAGGGAAGGATGCTTAGGGCACAGGTAATGATAAAGCTTTGGGAAGGGTTGGCCTAGTTAAGCCCCACCTACAAAACGCACAGACAGAGCTTTGAGTCAAAGATACCAACACTGAGGTCACCTGAGAGCTGGAGAATGTTACAGGACACTGGTATCTGATCAGGGTATCTCAGAAGCTCCAATATTAATCTGAAACTGCTACCAGTTATGCAGTTCCTCAGGAATCCAGCCATCAGCCAAGTTCAGACACACAGGAGGCAGCAGAGGAACAGCTGTTTCTGACATCCATCTCATCTCTAAACATTTCCCCCCAGTAACATTCCAACTATCAGACTACAGTAACAGGACAGATTAAGACACTTCAAGCACAAGCTACTCAGTAAATTATACATTAACATTCATCTCATGTATTAGAACTTAGGGCAAATGCAAAGCTTGATGTTTTCACTCAGAAGCTGGGTTGTTTGACTGGTCATGGGGCACAAGAAACACAGGACTTTACAGGGTGGACAGAAGCAGTGATAAAGTAGTCCAAAGTGAAGCAGTAGAAGCCAAAGCACAAACACTGACCAGTAGGCGTGGGTGCAGGTGTCTGCAGAGGAGTTGTACTGCTCCAGCCAGTGTGGCAGAGCATCCTCAGAAGGTACCTGGAAGAGTCATCCAAAGTGTGAATAAAGTACAACACATCAAAACTAACATAGAATAAAAACAATTTTGTCATTATCATGAGAAGGGAGGGAACACCAACATCAGGATGGTGTGCAGAGGTACAGCATCCTACATTATAATAAATTTGAAACTATTCAACTCCAAGGATAAGCAAAATGACTAAACACAGCTCAGTGCTTTTTCAATGTGAGTTCCCTTAAGTTCTTGCAAATTAAACATCTGCTAGACCCTAAGGAACCTCATTTTTTATTACCACATCACAGATAATTTAGATAATTTGGATATAGGAATGCCAAAATCATGTAGACCCGCTTAAAAAAGACACAAGTAAAAGCTCTGCTCCGGAGAAAGAAATCTACTTTTTGACTTGTCAAAATTATACATAAATACAAAAAAAATAAAGTCCTTATAATTACTTTCAAGCTTTTCTAAGTTAAAAATAAGGATAACTTTAATGGTTACCTTCTTATATTTCTTTTTCAGGTCTGCACATGTTTCTAGCTTGAGTTGTTTCCCAGTATTTGGTCTGTATATCAAAAAAAGCTTCTTTTTAGGATTCACTTCTTTTACTAGAATTGCTGTTTTCTTGTTATTTCTTATCTGGAAAATAAAAAAAAAGACAAATCAAAAACTTCCTGAATTAAAATACGATCACAGTATCTGCTTAAGTGATTCCATATAGTTTTCTTTAGAGTAATAAGAGTGTGTAATAGTACAACCAAGGACAGTAACACACCTCTAGAACACAGTAACACACATTAACCTCACAGTGAAATCATAAAGTTTCCTGGTGCAAGTTGAAGTAAGAGCTATTAATCTGGGCTCATATTCCTATCAGAAAATATCTTGAGGAGGTAAAAGGAAGAATTTCATACTCGGTGTTAAAAATATAAAAATTAATTTTAATGTAAGAATCAATGTATTTTGCAAAACTGAATAAATAAGTTTTTCAGTTTAGTCCCTAAAACCTCTGAACATAATCCAAGAGACAGAAGCATCTTACCTGTAATGATAAATAAAATCCATCATCTGGACCTGTCTGTTCTGCCCAGATCTTTGTTGCTTCATCCCAAGACATTCCTCTCTCCACACTGATCTACAGGAGAGCAGTGCAGGGGTATTTGAGTGGGAACAGACTTTACAACAGTTACACACATGGGAACTGAACACATTGTAAAAATTTACTGGCAAATGTTATCAGTTCCTAAAGAGATAATACAGGATTAACTTACTGTGTACAGCTCCACATGTCCAGAGGTAGAATATCCAGGAGTTAAAAACTTCTTAACATCTGCCTTCCTCACTTTCTCATCCCCAGAGCCCAAATCTGAAAAGGAAATCCGAGTTTTATTCTGTTGCTCTGTTCTCACTGAAGTTCAAGAGCACTGTGAAATTATTTACTCACCTAAGATGCCCATGTCATATCTTCCATTCTTTTTAGCATTTTGAATAACTGCATTTAACGTGTCAGAGAAGTACTGGAACAAAGCATTCTGCTGATGGACTTCCATGCCAAGAATTCGATTCAGAAATTTCCCTATATTGTTGTAATCTTCAAAAAGAGTAAGAAATACATGTATTAGGTCAAAGATTAAGTTTGATAGCCACAAGCCCTCAATCAGTATTCAAAGACTCTTACAAACACTATTTAAATACATTCTTTCAGAAATGCAGAAAACATTAAGTTCTTCAAAAAAGCCATTTTTTAGATAGTTACAAGTTCATTTCTGCTGCTGGGAATCCACTGCCATGACATAAGATGTTGCCAGGGACATTCTACAGATACACCGAAGTACCTTTATCAAGTGTCAGTATTCCAGATCTGTCCTCTACATTTATCAAGCCTACGCCAATCAATCCTTGACGAACATCTAGGAAAGAGAAAAGTTAAATCATAGCTGCTTTGCCATCTAAAAATAATTCAGTGAATTAACAGCTTGTTTAGCCATAGGATCTGATTCCAAAGCCTCTGACACCCCTCATTTCCCACAACTAGCAGTTTCTACCTAATACATCAATAAGCAGGATGCAGCTTTGCCTTCTGTCCCTGCAGGAAGCACAGGCAGGGGAAAGCATCAATGGCACCATGCATGAGAACAGCTCCAACAGGTAAGGAGAAAATGAAGACAAAAATCTGTTTATAATACACTGCCAAACAGATACAGAACATTGCTTACACTGAGTTCACAGATCTGATTTCATGTGTGAATGTCAACATTCAAGCGATGTGCAAAGACTCACTGGGCCTTTACTCCCTTCTGTCTCAGCTGAGTATTTTAAATTGTAACAATGTTCTACAGCTCTAACAGTATTTCCATTTTCTGCATAATGGAGAAGGATCAAAAGGTAGCTCTTGCAGCCAGTGCATCATCTTACCTTTGAAGAAATCTCCAGGAAAATCAGGAGGAGGTGAGACCATTGGGGAGTCCAAGTTCACAATGGATTTCATAACAATCTCCAGAGCATTTCTGCCATACTGTGTAAGAAAAAAAGTTGCTCTATCAATGACATCCAGTGCTTGTGCCTTAGCCCCAGGCACACATGGTTTAACAGGGATTTATAATTCACAATGAAAGCTTTCTGTGCAATAGTGATGGAATTGTTTATCATGTTTATGAAGTGTAGTTTATAACAGAAAACAGCCCAGTCTTCATTTTTAATTAGAACTGCCAAATTAATCTTTCATTGTGGCTTAAAGGACACACACCATTTACTTAAAACTGATTGTTTGCAAGAGCAGAAAGGTGATTTACACACGTGTGTTCCACATGGCTTCACAAACAGAATTATGGGTTACAGAAAGAGGCCTTCCATCAGAAAATTGTACAGTTAAAAGTAAGGGATGGAGAGGAACCTTCCTCAACAGGTCATTTGTGGAAAAAGCACTACAGCATGAATTCTCCAACAGAAACAGAATTGTTACCTTGTTGTCAAAATTGAATCTGCTGAGGTCTCGAGTTTCTGTGGCCCGTCTGTCCCCGTGGGTGAGGGCTCCCTGTTAAGACAAATCATTGTTGTTAAAGACAACTATTAAGCAAGAGAAATCTAAGTTTCACTTTCTCAAAGGAAGGATCAGACCTCTTAAAACATCTTACCAAACTCTCCAGTCTTTTAGCAACTATAGATGCAAATCTTTGCTCTCCTGCCAGTTCAGAGATGAGGAACACATACTCTGGAGCAGTCACTTGGTTGGATCTATGAGTTCTTCCTGGATAATTAAATAGAAGCATGTATATTAGATAAATTCTATTTCACTGAATATTTCTAATAAAATATGAACTGTGAAGAACAAGGAAAAAAGGTAGAAGTTAAAATTAGTTTCTGCTCTAATACAGCAAACAGAAGGTAGAACAGAGATACTCTGAAAGTTGTAGCAACTTCTATAAAGACACTTCATACATGAAAGAAACTCTAAAGCTGCAGCCTAGGTTTATTTGTGAGGTTTCTTTCAAAGCTTTCAAGATGATCAGCTGTGATCACAGACAAAGCTATTCCTGTTCATGGCTACAAGAGACCGGAGGGGTCCTTCGGAGGTGGCCTAGTTAATCTGATTTTCCATGTTAGCAGTAAGTTCAGTTGTTATTCCTGAGTCTGCTGGGTAAGGACACACAGTGAGTGATTTACCAAACTGCTGGATTGCTCTGTCTGCGCTCCACGGCAGCTCCAGGGTCATGTGAACCCTCCGCCTCTGGTTCTTGGCCCTGCGGTCTGCTTGCAGTGAGATACCAGAGCTGGCAGCCTCCGAGATGATGGCAATGTTCTTTGATTGAGAAAAGAGCCCTTAGTTAGCAATAAATCCAAGATCAAGCTTCAGTTTAAAAAAAAAAAAATAAAATCTCGTTTTACAACTATGACCAAACATGGGTCTGGAATGGTTTCACTGTTACTCACAAGGCAGAGGAAGGGAAGCAAGGTGTGGCTTTCTGTATCAGTGTTAGAAATGCTAATGAACTTTTCTGAGTGAAAGCAGGGAGTTTTGCTTTACTTTTCAACAATAACTCCCTGTGCAAACAAAGACTTGCCATCCCAGAGGGCAGGTCTCCCTGACGCTGTACTTCAGAAGGAAAAGGGGAGGGACATAGACTTTCTCCAATAGCAAACCAAAGAAAAGACAAAATGTTACTGCTAATGTTGTACAAGGAAGAAGATCCAGCCATTCCAGTGCCTGAATGCATTTGCCTTGAAAGAATGTAAATGTTTGGACTGTGCACGAGTCACAGGAACCCAAATCTTTACCCTCAAGTGTCACAATGGACCACGCAAGTTCCATGCATAGTGACATTTACGCCATTTGCCCTCTTGTGGCAGCACGGCCCAAGTGAGCCACTGGCAAGGGCTTTCCCCTCTCTCCTTTCATCAGATGCAATTCTACCATTATTGAGGTCAGGATTTTCTTTCAGAGTGCAACATAAAGGGCAGAAGCCACCACTCCTCCCAGTGTTACTTCTCAGTCCTTGTTAAGGTTAACAGGCCCCACCTTTTCCCTTCACCCCTCACTCCAAGTTTTCATACAGTGGTCTTCCCCATTTCCTAATTTAATTATTTCCTCTTGGAAGGGGAGGTGCACAGTGACCCGGATCAACGAATCAAAGATCTGAATCACCAATCTGCCTTTTAAATACGTATTGTTTTACAAAACCAGCTTAAAGGTGCCAGCTCTCAGTTTGGCACATGGCTGCACACCAAGCACAGGCCTCTGAGGTTACCCAAACTACAGCCTGACTGTAAAACACTGGACTGCTGAACACACTGATTTGAAAAACAAAACAGCAGTGAACTGAAAGTGCTTCTTAACCACTACTTACAGTACCTGCAAGTCACTGGCGAAAAGCTTAGAGTTACTATGGCATCTGGCACATTTGTCTACAGTCTCTCTAAGGATTACCTTATCTCCATCCATGAACCTCTGCTTTTCTGTGATGTTCAGGATTTCAACGGGCACATCGAGTTCAGACCTTGACTCGTATGAGATGCTGCCATCATCATTGCTCACCACTCTGCCTTTGCGGCCCGTCATCTTTGGAAGGGAACACAAGCTCAGTGTGCCAATACCAAAACCAGCCCAGCACCAAAAGCTCCAAGCAATATTATTTATCCCACATTAAATTTGATGTACCCACATTAAAATGCAGTAATTTACTCCAACTGCAAAAATATATTAGAAAACCTGGGTTATTTTTTGGCTGATGCTATTATCTGCTATGTGGAACATGACAGAGGAAATCTATGTAAAAATGATGTTGCATTATGCTACTGTTCATAAGGGATTTTCCAGCAGCACTAAGAAAATAAACTGAACAGACAGCTTAGGCTGCCACTAATTTTAACAGGGTCTTTTAAATCACACTGATGCTGCTACTTGATAGAGACGGGTAGCTTAAAGACATGTTTCTGAAGTTATTGAGAGATTAATCAGGCTTTTCATTAACACATAAAGGCTCTTAATCTCCACTGCCTTGGAGGATGATCTAAAGCTCCTGTCTGTTAATACACACCAGCAGCAAATTAACTACAGCCAGTTAGAGGAACAGACCACAGTAAAGACTGAAGAGAAACTGGTGTGATTTACCCAGCTAGGAACTATCAAATCTCAGAAATAACGTGTTCACCCACTCAGAGCTCCCACTGTACTCTAACACAACCTCTGAGTTTCTCTCTCATTCAGAGGCATCAGCAGGGTAATCTGTGTTCTCATTCCTGAGATCACTGTCTTAAATTGATAAACAACCTCGAAAAACACACTTTTTTTCCCTATATGTGAACACCAGCCTACCTCTGCAACATTTTCAGGACCACCCAGTTCATCTATAAGCTCATCCAGTGTATTAGGTGGAAGATCTTCAGCCAGCTTTTCCAGTTTATCCAGCAGTTCTTTTTTCATTTGTTGGGCCCTTTCAACAGCATCCTGACTCGTTACAAAGCTGCTGTTTGTGTTACTGTTTGCTGAAAGTTAAGAAAGACTCTTTGAGATTTAGAATTTTATTGCCTAACTGCTAGGAAATGAATCAACATCAAAGAAAGTTGTTCTTACCAGACGTGTTGGTACTAGAAGTGGTGGTTCCAACAGTGGAAGTGAAACAGGTGGGTCGTTTGGATCCCAGACCAGAGGCTAGTAAGGCACTTTGAATAGAATCTGGGTCTATGCTTTTCTTCTTTTTCTTTTCTTTATTTTTTTTATGCTCTTTTCTAATCAACCAGGGATCTGAAGTTAAATAAAAGTTTCAAACATTTACTAAGCAGCCATCCATCCCTTTGAAACAAATACATTCCTATTGCATAAAGTGACTTCCGAAAGTCTGACTTCCAGTGTACAAAAATCTAATTGAAGTTTCACATTCTACTAATTGCAGTCTCACTGGAACTACATGCTTAGTGAACACTTATCTGTGGCTCACTGAAATGCTTGGGAAGACTTTGTTTACTCTCTGCAAATACAGCTGTTTGCTTGATGAAACAGACTGTCTTACCATCTTCATCATCTTCACTGGATTCATCTCTGAATGGGTTGAAGTCGTCATCATCTCCAGAACTCAAAAATTTGGAGCTCTCATTGTCACTTTCTTCATTGTCTGAAGCATCAGACTCACTCTCACTCTCATCAGAGCTGCTACCTGCAAGGCCACCCGTTTTGCGGGCTTTTTTGGCTTCTCTGCTTATTTCTTCACCTAATTCCACCATCCCAGAAGAAAAAGAAGTTAGTTCAAACCTTGTAGTCTACACATTTTGAGGTCTGTTTTACCATACAAACTAGAAAAATATTCAAATTTTTAAAAACAGAACTACTTAAAAGAATCTAAATCTTAAGAGAACCTTGTCTCCCAAGTTTTTTATGTTCACCTACTTTTAAGATAATCAGTTTGGGAAGGGGGTGGTATTAGGCTTCTCTTCATTGAGTCTCAAGGCAAAGAAAGTTACTTGAGTGACTACATCAGGAAGTGGTCTGACACAGGCAAGACATTTTGGGATATGGTTCCATAGCAGATCAAACTAATTTTGAGCAAAATTAACTAAAATCTACAGGTCATATTACTTCAGCAGCAATATAACATCCAGTAATGGCAATCTCTAACAACAGCCTTAAGAGACCTGCAATACATTTTTTTTCATGGATTACTGTGCAGATATTCCTTTTTCCCCCCCCACAAAGTTCACTCTTAGGCAGCTCTGAAGTTGCCATTTTCACTGTGGTGTTAGTGTAGGAACCTATGCATTACCTTTTCGTTTCTTTACTTTGTTCTCCTTGCAAGGGCTGTCTCGAGGTGAATTGTTATTACTTTGAGCAGTCAGGTCAATTCCCAACAAGCTAAACAGCTTCTTCCTGTCTGGAGCTGGAAAGTGCTTTTCAATAAGAGACTGGAATACTCCTCTGTATAACAAAAAAAGGGTCGCTCAGTGGAATTTGCATTTATTTAAGTACAAACCTGTAACATTTAACAGCTTGCTTGACTTCTCTGAAGAATGGCTCCTTGTGAGTGCAGTTGGGCACTCTCTGATCACCCACATTACTGTATTTGTCCCCCTCTTAAAAGTAGGTGTTTCTTTTACAGCACTGTTATAACTTGGTAAATTTGTTCTTGGTAACAAGTGGCATTGCTACTGCCTTTTTTTATTGTTCAATTTAAATAAAAGATTAAGTTAATAAATTAAGATATTCAACAAGGCAGCCTTGGGATTGGCTCTGGGCCATCTGATCAAAGAGGGAAGTCATGGTCTGTAACTTGCTCTGGTGTAAATGCAGCACACACTTGGCAGGTCTCCCTGTTCCCCCAGTTTGAGGGAAACAGTACAAGCTGCTCACACCTGAAAACATCAGTTTGGAATGCCAGGAGAACCAGGAGCTAACCACTGCCTCACCTGAGCAGTGCTGCCAGATTTTAGGTACAGGCAGCTTCAGTAAAGAACATCAGCATTAAAGGATTCCCAACCTTCTGTGCACTGATGCAAGTTTGACACACAGAAGGACAAACAACTACACACACACAAAGCTGGATGAAGGTTTGTTTTGTAAAGAACAATTTTAAAATTCAGCCTTACTTTGCTGTAGAAACAAAGTCATTCAGTTCTCCACCACCTTCCTCCAAAGCTTCCAATGTTCTTGCTTCTCCTGTCGACTGCAGGCCAATGACAACGCACTGAAAGACAAATGAATAGCAGACACTGCCAGTATGACTGAGATGTAAGTTTATTTTGCCTGAACTTCTGCTCATTAGATACCACAAAGTACAAAAAGCATGCTCCTACTATGGCTGAAAATATTTATATTATATAAAAAAGAAATTAATCTAATAGCTTTACATTTCAGACAAATGTTTAAAAATAAACCTCGATCATCTTACTTTGCCATTCTTGATTTCTTCCCGAGCCAGCTGCACCACCCTCTTCACCTTTGAGGCTATGCAAAGATACTTGAAAAACCTCTGGTGAGCTGACCAGAACTGACCCCACATGGACTTTTTCATGCGCTGCTCTGCATCGATGAGATCGGCCGCTTGCTGAAACCTCTCTCGAGCACTGACCCACTAAACAAGAAAAAGAGCATTCAAATCCCAACCAACTTCAACCTCTCAGAGCTCAACAGAGAAAGCAAATTTTCAAAGGGGTTCTTACCAGTTTCACAGATTTATTGTACATTTTCACATATTCCTGTGAGAGCAGAACTTCGTCGATTTTGAAAGTTACACCTGAAAAACTCAACTGTCTGGCTATGTACATTCCTCTCAGCTTCATATCCATAGCAACTATTTCCATGGCACCAACACCTCTAAAATAAAGGAACAATTTAAGTTTGTATTAGAATTTCCAAGAGCAAGGATTTGTTTAAAAAATGCATCTAAACACAACCCCAAGTACTTTAGAAAAAAGCAGCTTACGAATGTGAAAGAATATGTTTTCGAAATAATTTGAAATTTAGTCTTTACAGAAAACTGCATCCCTGCCTTATAAATATTAAGTGTATCCCAAGAGGTAAAACTCAGTTACTTTTTCCCAAATGACCTAGGATGGATTAGGAGACAGTAACTTATAAATTGTAACTGGATAACAAAGTTTGATCCACATATTAGCAAATTCTTGCTTTCTAATTTTATAAACTGCTGATAATTTAAAATAATACAGACCATTTTAAGTTATTCAGATTTATGCTGATACGAAAATTATTTAATTAGTAAAGTAACTTCAGTTCTCTTCAACAGCAACACACCTGGAGAGCACAGAAGTCACCTGCAAAACAGCTGACTGCTACTCATAGGCTTGGGGCTCTAACTCATTATTGCTTATTTTATATGCACGCAGTAATGAAGTGAGGCTACACTTGCAGAGTCCAGAAAAACCATACATCGTGTAGATGGTAAACAAGATGCATCCTAAGCCCTATTGTGGCATTCTGAAGTGTTCAAAATTATTTTTGAGTAGGCAAAGCAAGATGCTCACCCACCACAGAATGCGGCAGCGGTGTTTTCAACTGACCTTTAGTATTATTAGTATGTTCTGAAACACCAAGTACCTTGTAACAGCACAAAGAATTTCCCTGAACTGGGTTCTTATGCCAGTAAGCACAAGATTTCCTCCTGTTAAATTGCCTAAAATGAATGCATAAACATTAGAGGCCTTCTACAAATAGTGAGCCATTAACTACACTGAGCATACTCACTATAATACAGGGTGTTTTCATGGGGAGCAGCAAAGTATTTTGCTTTCCTAACACCCACATTTTTGAGAGGCCTCTTTTCCCAGAAAGCTTTTAAAGCTCTCAAAATTTTCTGTGAACAAAGGAAACATCTTATTTTTCACCACTTATGATAAATTACACTTCTGCTAGATTTAGAAGCCAGAGTTCTTAGTGTGACAGGACATGTTTTTAAAGGACTAGAGAGTGATGGCAAGGAACTTGGAAGCACAGTTAGTCACAACCCTCTGCATTCTTGCTGTAGGCCTTTGAAATTTTACCTTCTTTCAACAGCCTGAATAAAATCACTGAATTCCCTAAACGGAGTTCCTTCACCCCATATTCCAAGACGGTTCATATATGCCATGTTTCTTGGCTCAGATGCACCTAAAAAGAGAAACATAAATCTGTACCAGTGCCAGCAAAACCACCCAGAGACATTTCATACAAACCCAGCAGTACATACCTGTGGCACTGGCATAAACAACCCTGGCTTTTGGAAGTTTATTTTGAAGTTCCAGTACAGCCAGACCTGTTTTTGTTGGTTTTGATGAACCAACAGGACACAGATTCTTTGCTTTGTGACACTCGTCAAATACGATCTGAACCCTAATTAAGGAAAAGCTTTGTCCCACTAATTTATAGAATGAGGAGCTAGAACAGAATGCAAGAAAATCTACTACTTACAATAGGGGGTAGGTGGAAATTGTAAACTCAAGACACTAGTCATTTTAACTAAAAACCTTGGAAAAATATTTAGATAGTATTTAAGAACAAAATTACCAGCACTTGAGTTCTTGAAAATGCTAGTCATACTTCAAATATATATTTAAATAAGTCTGTAAAAAATAGCAGTGTAAACTTTAGGTCCTTAAGGATAATAGTTTAATTTTATAGATTTTGATATTGCCATAACAAATAAAGAATACCTAAAAAACTCTGAAGATATAAGTTTAAATAGCAATTTGGTTATAATCAAAAGAACTCCAGAAAAAGGATACAACTCCATCAAAGTCTTCACCACACCAGTGAAGAAGCTGCTTTAGTCTGGTTTTGTATTTACCACCAGACTGACTTTCCCCAATAAGAGAAGAATAGGTAGCAAAGATGACACCTTTCTTCACACTTCCATTATGTTTGGAAGAAATCTTCCCATACTTGAACTGTAATAAATAGAAATTACAGAAATTAATCAAGAGAGACCCCTCCTCAATCCCACCTAACAGATGATTAAGGGATGCTGGTGGTCTTAAAGGTGTGAACACTTGGAGCCACACATAACCCCACATGATGATCAGGGCACAGCTGATGGCAGTGTGGTTAAGGGGTTTTACTGGGCCTTACTTAAACATAAGACTTAAGGAAGACTAAATCTGAGGCTTCAAAAGCTTAGGAGCCACATTCTTTAGCTACATGGTTTCCACAGTTTAAATACAATTGAGATTTTAGTTTCAATGTATCCCTTTAAGAGCCAATGCCTCAAGTGTACTCACAATTGCTACCATAAATGATGATTTCTAAAGCCTTATTTTAGAAATTAAGAATTCACCAAGCAAAAATACCAACTTAAACCAAACTTTTAAGTTCAATTAATTCAACCAGTAATTACACTTTACAATTTAAGCAGCTAATCCAGAGCAGAGGCAGTGCCTCCAAAAATAACTGCACACACCACTGCTGCTTTAATAAATCACTGAACAAGTCTATTATTCAAATATTACACATAAAATGCATTACATATTAAATGTGCACTGAAAGATAGAAAGGGAAAAATTCAAATGCTACAAAGCCTTAAAGATGTAAAGAATATTTCAACTTCTAGAAAACACTCTACTAGTAGTGTCAGTAGAGGCTTGAAGTGTAATTTAAAAAAAAAACAACACACATGCTTAAGACTTAATCCTACAAGGGGCCTATTTACATGATTAACTTAAAGCTCCGTGTGGTTCTTTGTAAGATTTAGGTCTGTCAAACAAGATCTAGACAGCAAATTTATTGAAATTAGTACATTCTTGCTCTTAAAACAGTCAACATGCACAACTTGTCACACAAGCGTACCTAAAGGTTTGCCTCAACTGTACATAGTAAAAAGTTTCCACACCTTGTTTAATGAATGGACCAATATGTTTTTTGCTCCAATATCTCTCAAATCTCTTTCAGCATCGTATTTCAGATCATTTGACACGCTAAACCTGGAGACACAAAACAAAGCACATTCTGTAAGTTACAGCAGCTCAAAAGGCGGTTGCTAGAACATTTGTCAGAAGACAGATGACCCTGAATTTAAGTCATAGAGTCACTGGAGTGTCTGCTCTAACAAATCCTGACACTTACCAGACTGCTCTTTTTCTGCCTAACAAGTAATTTTCATAGATTATTCCAGCTATGGTCCTTCCTTTTCCTACACCAGCACCATCACCTATCAAGAATCCAGCTCTGTCTCCATTGGGCAGGAATGTTTCATGTTGCTGTAGGAGAAAGAACAAAATACTTGTACTCATTCTCCAGAACACATCACAGGGGATTGTCAGAAAAGAGCAAACATAAGAAACATCCTATTGGAGAAGACCAGTAGTCCAAGCAAACTCCTGGAAGCAGGAAGAGGGTATTTTATTTAGGGAGAGCACAGCACCATAACTGACTGCATTGTGTGATCCCCTTTATTCCCTCAACACCCAGAACTGCTCTAAACATCTGTCCAATATTTTGTGCCTTTTCCTAACGCACTGATAATCATCTGTACAGCCTTTTAGTAGCAGCAAAACCCAGACATCCACAGCCAATGCATTATTCTGAATCTACCCATTTTAAACCAATCTCCTGTCAGTGTCACCAAGTTCTGCTTTGCTCTTGGTTTTGTGATATCGCTCATTTCTCAATTATCTTAACCCTGATTTCATTCCCATTCCTTTCTCTCCTCTCCAGCCCCAGGTGTCTCAGCTGTGTCAGTCTCTTTTCATGAGGCAACTCTTCCCTCCTGTGACCATTTTAGCTGTCCTCTAACTCCACTGCCTCCCTCCCCAGCAGTCAGAGCACTGCATGCACATCTGGGGTGGGCACACTTAAGTTTAACCAAGCAGCAAAATAACACCCAGTCCTATTCCCGATTCCCTGCCCAAGGATGTCAAACAGGGCTGGCTTTCTCAGCCTGCTGCCACTGCAGCCATTATTTCAGAGAAATAAAAATGACTAACATGTTCTAAGACAGATAAGAGATCAGCATCATGGAAGTGGTTTAAAGGAAGTTTTCCTAGGTGTATTACCTCCCATTTATCTGAGCTGAAGCTCACCTGCCATCTTCTAATGCAACTCAAACCTTTAAGCTATTATTATTTTATCTCCTTGTAAAACTGACATAGCTGCACTTGTCAGATTGTAGTTTTTCTTCTTAAATTCTCTGTTAGCTTCTAAGCTGTGCTGATGTCTGGCATACCTGGGCTGCATAAGTGATTGCTTCGAGCTGCAAAGCTGACAACCAGCCACTGTCAATGGTTTCCTCTGATATTGATGTCTGGTACCACACATCAGGAGGAGTCACACTGGATAACGAGCTGGTTTCCACTACTGGGTCAGGATGACGTAGACCAATTTTTACTGGTGGAGAAAGAAAGGGAAGGAAGGCAGAAGATGAAATCAAAAGACAGGGTTCTATTGCTGCAGCACAAGTTATTATGTTTACCCAAACAAAAATTGTGATTGCAAAGGCTGAACTCAACAATAAGTATGTTTCATTGCAACAATCTGTCAGGTGTTAAACTGCATTGCATATGAAGGAATGCATTAATCTCAATTTATAACTACAATCTTAACTTTATCTTCTCACCACCATCCCACAATTTTTATGAGATTAGATAATATTCACTTAACAGAAAATTAAAGTATCTGTGTACTTGACTTGTTTGAGAAAAACCAGTTTGAACCTTGTCTTCCCAAAAAGGCCAGAAGCAGCCTCAGGATGCCAGAATCACAAAAGCAACATTCTTCTCACTATTTATATAGTGCCATTTTTAAGCAGAATGAGAGGAGAAAAGATTTAGAACAGACGTAGTTTAATTGCTGACAGACCTCATCAGTAACAATAAAAATTAAACATTTAGCTACAAACTCACTGCAAATTTTTTGCCTTGCTTTTACAGCAGGTCACTGTATTTAGCAAACAAGATAACAGGTTGTTGTCAATGGGTACAACAAAGAAATAGAAAAAAGAGGAAATGGCAATTAACAGCAGTAAAAGATTCACTCAAAAAACAACCAAGAGCCAGTTCTAAGTAGTCAGCCAGGAACAATGCAGGAAGAATGTACTTAGGGTGATTTCACACCAAAGGACTCAAACTGAATTCCTAAGTGTAGCAGTGAGCACTGCATTCCTTTAAGAAATTTCCTCTGCTGAAGCACGAGGCATCATAACAGAGGTAAAAAAAAAAAAAATTAACGATTTTGGTTCATCAATCATATCTGTGAAACAAATACTGCTCAGTATTACACTGAAGAATTCCTCTTCTACTTAAAAAATCTACTTACCTAACCACTACAAAAACAAATTTCCTAGGAAAACCCACAACATAATCAGGTCCTGTTAACTTCAGATAGGATCTATTTTCCGTGTTAGTAATTATACAAGAATAAATAAATTAACTCTCAAAGCATTCAGCTTTTTGATGTAACAGAAGATCAGGTCATACATTTTATTGGCATATATTCAGCGTAGGTCTCTGCATGGCCCATTTCTTCTTCATCTTCTTCCTCAGGTTCCTCCTCTTCTTTTACTGCTGGCACTTTCTAGAATAGAAAAATACCTGTGTTAGTCAAACAGCACATTGTTAATATTCCATCTCCTGGAAATTAACATGAGAAAGGAAATGAGGACAAACTTGCACTTCAATGTTTTAACACATGTAAGGGACAAACAAGTGAATTGCTGGGGAAACTACACACGAATGTAGATTTCTTACACTCTGAACAACCCTCTAAAGACATGAAGTCAGGGAACTTCCTCTTCTTTGCAAGGAGATCAAGTACTCCAAACTCACATAAGCAGAATTAAAAAGACATTCTTCTCACAGCATTTTAAAATCAAACTATGACTTAAAGAAAATTGCCTTGACCACATGACAGCCCTAATGTTCAAGTACTCCCCCACAGTCTCTTGCAGTTCCACATTCATGACATCATTTCACAACTTTATAGTTAAATAGTCAGTTCTGTCCAGTACTCTCTGAAACCCGAGTTACCCATTTACTGTGACCCTGACCAATGTAAATATATAAATATTTGTAAAGCACTCCATAGATGAAAAAAATCAAACACCTTCCACAACTGCTTAATGTTTAATACTAAAGAAGTGATCTGAAAAACCCCTTCTGTATAGCAGTCACTGAGGAGCACAGTTCTTCCCAAATACCAGCCTGAATCTTGTTATCAGTGAAGATGCCAAAACTCAAGTGTTTACAGCAGCAGAATGTAATTTTATTACATTTAGAAAATTGAATGATACTCAATTTACATCTTCGGCTGCCCAGAAGGACAGCCATGCTAGGGAGAAGTATTTCAGTTTCCTTGTTGCTAGTGACTTTAGAAGAAAATGTTTTAACCCAGAGGAAATGCTATGCTTATCACCTTTAATCAGAGCCACACCAGCTTCTGCTAAGGACAGTAATTTCTTGAAATTGTCATTTACTATCTAAGTCAGCTCTGCACAGCTGTTAACTTCACTCATCTAACCAAGTTTCATCTTGTGGAGCAACTGACCTTTTGAACAAACAGATGCACTTGACAGTTCCACCACACACAAGTATGAGTAACTCCTGAAAGTGGTCACAACTGTTTATGGCTGGCAACACATTGGTTTGGCAAATTAATCATTTGTGCCACTTACCACAGTAGGTGAAAAACTTCTCATTTTAATGTCATTTATCCATATTCTTGCTACCTCTTTTGTGGAAGCCTCCTTCTTCACTGCACCATTGCTTAGGTCAGCTGCAAAACAAAAGCTGTGTTTTACAGAATTCCCTCCAAACGTCAACTCATATTAACATGCTGCTCTATTAATGAGCTGGAAGAGAAGTTTAAAGTATCCAGGAGCACAATGATGCTTCAAGAACAAATTTGTAATAGGATCCTTTAAGAAGGCAATTTATTAACCTTCCTGTCTTCAGTCACATTTGCAAGGAACTAGAATAGGGCTCAGTACACAACTAAAATAATTTGCATAAGGATGGGTGCAAATACTGAAAGCAGCTGTCAAGCTTCCATCATATCAATGCATGTAATAAATTTAGCATAATTGCCCCTAAAAACAATTAGGGCACTTGCAGAAATAAATGTTTTCCTCAAAGACGTTGCATAATTTAACTTCTTAATATTTTTCCATCTAGAACTCCTGCTGCCTGAATGACATGAAAACACCATTTTCCTTTCAGGAGCTTCTCTTTTCTACAAGCATTTGCCCTTTTTTTAAATAAACACAAGGAAAGATCCAGAGACACAGGAACACAAATAAGATTAGGAATGCAGGTATCCTTTTCACTTTATACAGAAGCTACAGAATCAACTGCTTTCTGCAGCTGTGTCACCCTAACAGTTACTGTGTGTTGGTGTCACCTATTCTGTGCTTCTCTGAGCACATTTGGTTTTTATTTGGTTTAATAGGACTGACTTATCCCCTTCTGCTTTCTCCCCTCCTCTTCCTCACTTCCTTCACTCCCTGCCCCAACTTCAGTTCATGTCCCAACCTGGATTTAGGCAACCACTCCCTAAGAGAAAGCAATGACACAAGGAGGGACATTCTGCTTTTGTTTCAGTTCCAACAGACAGCTCCTGCACTGCACTCTCTCTCTGCATACAGAAAAATAGGTTATGCCAACCACACCTATAAAATCAGCAAAGCTTGTTTCAGAGACAATGAAAATAACAGAAATACAGAAAATGCCTGTGTATCTTTCAGGAAAAAAAGCAGTAATAAAGATATTTTTAAACTGAACTAGCCTGATCTTAACCTCATGCAAAAATCAGAACACCTTGAAAGAGTTAGTTTCACACACATGCAGTGTGTGAAATTTTTCCTTATACAAGTTAACCACATGTTAGAAATAACATACAAAGAAATATTATGGAAGGAATAACAAAATGAAGATTTGGAGTGTAATGAAGTACTTGTGATAGTTAACTTACTGCAGCATTTCAGAAGTAACATGAAAATAAACAGCAAGTTTTTAGGACTTAATTTCTTAAACAATGGATCTGATGCCTCCAATGAAACAAAGGAACAGACTTTCCTTTTGCAGGAGACACTTCACACAAACACCTTACATGCTACAAATCTAGTTTGGAAGATGCCAAATAGAAAAAAGTACTAGTTTGTTGTAGTTCCAAGTGCACACTAGAACAGGAACTGGTGGAGACCAGTAATATAGCTAATAGACTTCAGTAATGTTCACTAGTTTTAACAACTTTCCAGCTGCAATCTGTCATTTTCCTCATTCCATGCAGTAAATCAAGAGTTTAATTTTTTAAACTCTTCTTTCGTACTACTTCACCCTGAATTCTAACACTACTACAGTTAGAATGAAATTTATCAGGTTTCCCGAACCACTTCATTTTACCAGGATATTGTACTAATCAATGAAAATCCATGATGTGCAAAGACCTTCATTATTTCACTATTTGTCTAAAACACTGTCATTACAAAGAAAGAAAACTCACTTGCTGCTGTTGCTACTGGTTGGGCAATATTAGGAGGTGGCTTCAATTTCATGAGTTCATTAAGACTATTGTTCTTGAGCAGATCTTTCAGCTGAATCTGGTCCTTGGAAGGTGCAGTGGTCAAGGCATTGCGAACTGCTGGTGCTGCCACCGAGGGCCGAGTGGTTGTGCTGGTCTGGATGATCTTTGCTACAGTGATCGTCTGCCTCGAGGTCGTGACAGGCGTCGTTTTTGTCACCACTATTGTTGTCCCCAGAGTTGGAAGCTGATTTATTTGATTCAGCACAAAGGTTGTGGTGGATGGTGGTTGCTGGCAACAAAGAAGCAGGGAAATTTTTAGAAAACAATCAAAAAGAAAGAGCAAACTTTATCAGACTTCATTTAGCACACAGTTTTTAGAAGAGTTTTTTACTTTGTAGTAAGAAATGTCTTCAAATAACATGCTGAATATGCCAGAGTAATTATCTTGTGCTGCAACACTCTGAGCAAAAAGTATCTCTCACTACATTGTACATATTTCAGAAAGTTACTTTTGAGATTTTATGGAAAAGGAAATAAAATAAATAAAATTAAAAAACTGATCACCCAGGTCCAAGATATGACCACTACGGTTTCCCCCATATCTGACAAAGCCAGTCCAACTCACTGCAAGCCAAGGCTCAGGCAGTCAGTGTCACTGACAGTGCCTGTGAGAAGGTATTCGTTTAACAACAGGCAAAAACTGTTATACAGTCAGCAGCTGGATGGAGGAGTGAGAGTATCTGAGAAAACTCTGCAGACACCAAGGTCAGTGAAAGAAGGGGAGGAGGCGCCCCAGGTGCTGGAGCAGGGACTTCCCTGCAGCCCTTGGAGGACTATGGATGCCAGGAGTGAAGTTGAGCCCAGGACAAAGAAAGAAGTGGGGAGAAGGTATTTTTAGATTTGATCTTATTTCTCATTTTCCTTCTCCATTGTTAACTGGCAACGAATTAATTTCCTCGAGTTGAGTCTGGTTTGCCCGTGACAAATTGCTGATTGTCCTGTCCTTATCTCAACCCAGGAGCCTTTCACCATCGTTTTTTAGCCTTTGTGCAACTGAGGTAGAGGAGTGATAAAGCAGCTTAGTGGGCACCTGGTGCCCAGCCCAAGTTAAGCCCCTTCCCCATCTAAATCCTGGAGGACCAGTTCTTACCCGAACATTTAATAAGGCTGGAGTAGACACAGTCTCTGGTTCTTGTTTCACAGCAGCTGCAGCCTCAGTCTCCAGGCCCAGTTCTAATGCACTAAGTGGTACTGACTGCAGAGGAAAGAAAGCAAACAAGTCAGCAGGGATAAAACCTTAAGGCTTTTGTTCTCAGCCTGTGTCTGAAGTAGCTACACTCTGGCAGAGTGAAGGCCATCATGGAGCTTAAACATAGTATTTCATTACATTTATTACGCATTTTATTGTAGAGCAGCTAGACCCCAATGACATGAGAGCTCTCCATGGATACCTGACATTATGTCCCTATGTCATATCCAGAATTAAGCATATTTCTGTTTGTGCTGACCTCAAGTGTTTCAGATTGCTTTTTTAATAGAAGTTTAAAATTAATTCACAAGACATTTTTTGATCTCAGTACTATGAAGCAAGAAACTTAAGAAAATTCCACATGCTTCAACCACTTGCTATGGAAATCACCCCCTTTAAACCCCTCCATCACAGCAAACCCAAGTTCTCTAACAAACCGCTATGTTCTTGTTTTAACCTGCTGAACAGCTGGAGTTGGTGCTGGATTTGCAAGAACCACGTCTGGAGAGTCAATATCAAAGAGATCATTTGGACTGATTCCACTCTCACTCAAAGCAGCAAGCAACAGATCTTGTCCTGGCTCCACCATCTCTAAAAAAAAAAAGAAATTAAACTGTAAATACAAGTACATTTAATTCTGGTTTACTTTTTGCCCACACACAACTCCATTTCCTGGATCCAAGGGCATTCACACTGCAGTCTCTTGTACACACTGTTTCACTTTTTAGATTTGCTCTGTTCTTTTGTTTATTTGTAGACTTTTCAACATACCTACCACATTTAAAAGCAGTGAGAATTAAATAGTTTACTACATAAAATGCTATCATACCCATAAACTCAAGACACCTTTTCTAGTCTTTGAGGCACTACATTTTCAAGCACTACAAGAAACACCAAGAGCAGAAATGGTGAGACCATGTTATGCTAATGATCTGTCTTTGTCGGTGAAGGAACTGCAAGAGAGAAACACAATTAAAACTCATTTACTTTATCTTGTAACAAGTTAGTGATAAAGAGCTTATAAGGAAAGCTTTAATTTCTTGCTTGCCCTTACATTAGGTTACATTCATTCACTGGAGAAATTTTGTTTTGCATATGGAGAGAACAAATGTGCCACTATTATAGTATGTAACTGCTTATTAAATAGGACACTAACATCAGGTCACAGACTCCTTTATGTGTAGGACAAGCAAAACTAATTTCAAAAAGCTATTCTAGACCATATAAAAACTTATTAAAAAGCCAAATACTCCATATTTAAAGATGAAGAGGGAAGATAACACATTTCACTTGCTTAAGAAGGAAACCCATCTGCCCTAGTATTAAGATAAAAATTAAATTATTTCACTGAACTTGAGCTGTCGCTTATACAGTCTAAAATACACCTCAAGCAAATCTTAATTTGACTTGCCTTCCACACCCCTCAACACCCACTGGGAACAAAACACTGAAACTCAGTGAAGCCAAACACCTACTCTAAAGCAGGTAAGAGGACAAAATTATTTGTTGGCATTTCAGATGTTCATTCACAAGACTCCAAAACAGCATTCCCTTGCTCATCCCTTCTACATGCACAGCTAAGCCACATTCAGCTGGCTGGTCACACATATTCCTCAGCACATTTAGCAGAACAGGTAATTCTTGTAATAAGCTGAGCCTCAGGCACTTAGTTCTTACTCTTCCCAGTTTTAGTCTGTGCAATAACAGGGGAGAAACCTTTTGGCCGTGGATTCATACCGAGATGGTGGCACCACAAGGGGAAGACACATTTTAAGGCATTAAAGACTTAAAGATGTTCCAAACAATATCAAAGCAACAAACAATAGGTGGGACTGCTACTGACCACACACAGCCCCATCAAACAGTACTTGCTTGTCAGAACCAGACTTTTCTTTCTTAAAGACATTTGAGCTGACTGAATCAATTGGAAGAATGGTCTGCTTTGTTGTTGTGAGATACACAAAATATTAAGAAGCATTAAGTCGTCTAGCAGATTTAATTGATATGGCAGCACCATTAAAGGATGTCACCACCCATCAGCCTGTTTCCCTGAATCCTGAATGGGTCAACAAAAAGTGGTAAGAACTGACTCTTAGTTTTACTTTCATTCCAGAAAGATTGTGTTTCCTCTTTCAAAACAGGGGACTATATATACACACATTAATTAGGTAGGATAAATCGTTAATTTTCATCAGACTAAAATCTTAACAGTGACCATCACATCTAAGTTTAGAAGCTTGAAGCATTGTTATCAACTAGAAACAGGTGAGGGGAGGAAGGTTTAAGTCTCCAGATGAAATTTTTGCTTATCAGTACTTTTGGTATTCAGAACTTGAGAGCAGCTACTAAAGATTAATTTCTTTATAGAAGGAGAATTAACACAGATCACCCCATCAAAACAGCTCCAAAACACTTAAAAATTGTAACTTCACAGTATCCACTTGGGAAAGAGGCACAAGCACCCTTCCACACAGGCCAACACCTTTGCTCAAAGGACAAATAAACTAAAATGTCTAAATGTAAAGTGGAAAAAAACATCAATTAAGTCATTCTTTAGTCTGTATGGAGCTGTGATCACCCACCACTAAACAAAGATACGACTAATACTTAGTTGAGAGTTAAGGGAGTGGACTGAATAGAGGCACAATAAGGCTGAAGTTTGGGGATTTTCACTTAAGAGAACTAAGAGAAAATGAAAATACTCAAGAACTTCTAGTCTGCTCTCACAGTATAGGAAGGAAAGGCCTTTCTATGAAGTTGAGACTCAAAGCAAAACCAAAGCTAGAAGAAAAACCCAACACCAGAACCACAAAAACACATCTTCCCCAGCCACCCTACAATGGTGTCACAACCCATCACATCTGTTTCAAGTCCAGTTTAACATATCCATGATGCCACTGACCTGTACATGTTTAACCTTTAAAAACATGATTGCTGATATCTTAGAAATTTCAGAGTTCAGGAAAAAAAAACAACAATTCATAGCAGTAATGCTTTAGTAACTTAGAGTTTTCAGGAGATGACTGGTGGTAGAAACTAGCAAAGCAATTCCTACAATTTCAGAGGAAATATCTCCAGTTTAGAAGCATCCCTTTCTAGTGGGGCTGTTTTCATGTAAGAAACCCCCCAGCTGCACGTCTCTCTTGATACCCCAAATTTTAAGTCTTAAAAATTCATGGTTGCTCACAACCCAGCAAAAAGCTCCGTGAAACAACAGCAATTGTTTGTCTGTCAGTTTGGACAATGAAAGTTTGACTAGTCTCACTTATTTTGTTTCTGTACAGTAGGAACAAAGCTGCATTGTTCGAAACAAAAGGAATTCTGAACTTCTAGAATTTTTACACTAGAAGTCACTGAATACTAAGGACCAATTTTAGGTTTTGTGCAACTTCCAAGCACCAATGCTGCCTACCCTCCCCATTTTAATTTAGCAAGGAAATTAAATGAGGAAGAAAAAAATACAGGAGATGTATTGTGATAACTTAAGTTTATTTTCTGTAGCACACGTTGGTTAAGCTTAAAACATTATCAGGCTGAACCAGCTCCATAATCTTGCAAGGTAGGAGGCTCCTCAGTTAACACAAGTGAAAGTGACTTTATCAAGCTGTGCAGCTCAGCCTTGGCAATACTATATAAGGACCTGTTTGCCACATCTTCAAACTCTCTGAAAGAAAATACTTATTAAAAAGTTGTGAATATTACAAGCTGTTCCCTGAGCATTTCATCACTCAAAGAACTGTTTTGAGCATGTAGAATCTTGCAGATAAGATTGTCTATGTTTAGTGAGGTAGTCCAATGTCACTGAGCGAGAATCAGCCTATTAAATAAAACTAAAAAAATGTATTTATAAAATTTTGACAGCAGTAATATCTTAATTACTTTCTTTGTATTGAGAAAAAACAAACTGCTACTATTTCAAGAAGGGCTACCAAATCATACCAAACAATTCTGTAAGGTGCTCTCCTGATGAAGAATATAGCTTAAAACTTTGATAAAGACACGGTTTTGTGATCACTGCACATTATGTAAATAATTCCTGATTTAAAGATACAAAACCAGAATGCCATGTTTCATATCATGTCATGTATCCATGCCAACCTGGCTCACTCTCTCCTTCCATTTTAGCTTTGGTACAAAGAAACAAAACAAAAAAAAAGAAGAAAAAATATTCTAAATCACATATCGAGCAACCTGCTCTGTTTCCCCTGAGAAAGATAATGGTAGAATCCCAAACAATGAAAAGCCTTTTGATTTCTAGGTCTGTGAGTTACACATTGTAACACTGCATGCCTAAAGTGCTTATTTAAAAACCATAATCAATTACAGTATCATAAGTTGGTCCAAACCAAACATCACAACCAACCAGGCACTGCTATTCCCAAGCCTCTCAGACACTTGGGCTCTGTGGTGCACCCAACTGCAGACCTGGGCGTTAATGCATGGCTGGGACACAAACAGCATCCAGCAACTTTTGTTCTTTTACTGGGAAGGTTTACCCCACTACCTTTTTGAGGAATACCTGTCACCTGAACTGTACTGGAATCCATTTATAATATCACACAAATACTGGAGTTGTACAGACAAGACAGCTTTGCCCTGCAAATTCTCTGCCTGTCTAAACCAGGAGTTATTATTGACCTGAAAATTTCACATCTCCCTTTGCAGCCTCTCGCAGCAGAGGTGGAAAGGCTGCTGAGCCCTGTCCCACCCAACAGGATTCTCTGGATATCCACGTGGGTTCTGCTCATTTCACAGCTTCTGCCTCCAGAATGCAACCTGGGTAACAGTAAAAAAAAACCTCAACCAACCCAACCCCTTCTGGTCCTCTCCAAGTCACCATCCAATCAAAGAGAAAAACCCTAATTAATGAACTCACTCATCCTTCCATGCCTTAAACTCAAGAGTAGCAGTTAATTTGGCATTCACACGTACAAAGGTGTTCTCACAAAAATCATAACTTAATGCCAATCCTGGAAAAATCATTCCCATTTTTCCAAGGCTGGTTACCACTCAAACATCAAAGCTTTCAAGGACACGAGGGACACTTCAGAGTGCAGTGGGGTGCAGCTCGGCCTCAATGCTTTTTAATGACTGTTCTAAGAAATTTACAACTGTCATGTTACACAGTCTGCAAATGTGAAATTCACAAGTTTTGAAAATATTAAAAGAATTAACAATGCAATAATTTGGCATGAAATCAGCTTTCAGACTAAAAGGCTGGAGCTGGTAATTTGGCCAGTAGTGAAAGTTTTTAAGAAGTAAAAACTCAAAGAAATAAGAGCAGCGTGTGAGCACCACGAACTTTAGTTTCAGCCTGGGAGCCAGTTCCAGGTGTGTCTCAAAGCACCATTACTTATATCCATGACCTGCTTCAATGGCTTTTAGAGTAATTCTCAGTCAGTTTTGAAACCAAAGGAGTAGTCTTGACAAAAAGACAAACTGCCCACATTTCATTTCTAAATATTAAGATTGCATACAAATATAACATTTCATGGCTGTGAGGCAGATACAGAATACCAATTCAAATGTCATGCTGTTACACAATTCCAATTCTTGCTTTACAACATCAACTACAGATTTTCAATATTGGGGGAGGGCAGCTTAAAAAACATTAATATATGTTTTTAAATAATTTTAATCCAGACACAATATTGGTAGTCTAAAGCCAAACAGTCTACTACTGAGTTAATGTCTAACTTTACACTGTGCGATTGATCACACTGATTTTTTTTTTTTAACTTACTCTGGAGTTACCTAACAGATCAATTAAAGGTTTGGTTTTTTTAAGCATTTACAAAATTTGCCTCATCTTTAACAGGCATCAAACACATAGAACCAGCCTACGAGGACCTGAAGTAAAGTACGAGAGATCTAATTTATACTCTCAAATTCAGTGTGGAACATGGTCAGCTAAAAATAATAAAGAAAACCTAAAAAAAACCCAGAAGAAAAACCCAAAAGGCCTCTTCCCCATCAGACTGTAGGGGCATTTCTACGTTAAACTATTACTCACCCTAGCAACCTCTGTTTGAGGTGCGCTCGTTAAGAGTCCCTGGACTTTGAGGCCGTGTCCGTCGCCGTGGTTCGGCTCCCCGGGAGCAGCGGGGCCCCGGAGGGCTCGGCCGGGCGGGGAAGCCCCCGGGGGAGGCGACGGGAGAGACTGGGGGGGTCGGCGGCTCCTGCCCCGCCACCTTCCCACCAACACGTGTTCCCGACATAAACTTCCGGGTTGGGCCAGAATCGGCTGCGTAATCCTGTCCCATGCGCGACTTTTTGTTTCCAGACCTTCACCTCCTTAAAGATCCCTTCAACAGCACCGCGACCCCGGGGAAGGGCGGGAGGGCTCCGTCTCACGGCGGCTTTCGGAGCCGCTCCAGCACCATAAATCAAACACCCCCATCCCCCCCGCCTCGTCTCTCCATTTCAAACCTCAACAATCAGCAGCCGCGGAAAGAGCGCACAAAGGCACGGGCCGGGCCGGGGGGGGGGTCTGCCCGCACAGAGATGCGGCGGGGGGGAGGCCAAACCCACCGCCGCGCCCGCCCCCGTTAGAGAAGCGCTTCCCCAGAACCGGGGGGCCCCGCCGCCCGCCCCCACCCGCCCCCGGGAACGAAGTTCGCGGGACAACCGGGGCTCCACCGGGGCGGCGGCGCCGCCTCCCCCGCCCGCCGCGCCACCCCCGGCCCACCGGGACCCCTGCGGGGGCGGCCGCACAGCCTTCCGGGGCTGAGGGACCGAGGCAGACGCGGAGCCGCTCCCAGCACAACGGGTCCTCCCCGGACACCCCCGCGCCGCCGCCGCGGGCCCCGGTGAGGAGCTGAGGGGAGGAAACCCCCGGGGCGGCCCCAGAACGCGAGGAGCGGCCAAAGGCGAACAAACAGGCGCGGCGCCAAGCAAAAGAGCAGCGTGGGACTTACTCTCTATCGCGCTTGATCCTCCCGCGGGCTCCTGGAAGTCTCCGCCGCCGGCCCCGCCGCCCGCCGCTTTCTAACTCACAGCCGCCATCTTTGCCCTCCCTCCCCTCACAGGGGAGGGGGGGCCGGGGGCCGCCCGCACCACGTGACCCGGGCCGCGCCTCCCCCCACCCGCCGCGCCGCGCGCGCTCCCCACCCACGTGACTCCACCAGCCACCGCCCGCCGCTGGCGCGCGCTCGGCACCACGTGACCCGCCCCCCGCCCGCGAGCTCCTCGATCACGTGGCCGCCGCCGTCTCGCGCCCCCCCCCCCTCCCTCCCCCCGC